TGACTGGCGCTGTCAGCGTACGGCACTAAGTGACATTAAGACAACGACTATTTCCTCTTGGTAATAATTTTTGAAGGCGAAAAAAAATGCTTACCTCAAACAACTATGTCTATCTATGTAGCTGAAGTACCCTGGGGCCACCATGTCACAGCCGGCAATCACCGAATTTGTGCTTTTTCTTTTATAGAGTGTTCCTGCAATTCTCCGTATGAGCAATCCCGAGCATGCTTTTGAACTTTCACGTAGAAAGCAACGTGAGAAACATGGGGTATTGGTCAGCCGCTCCCGACGACTGCAGCTAGAAAAAATCGTTCAAGGTGAGTTTTATCGAATCCCATCGCTAGAAGCATTAATGTAATGCAAGACAATAAAAATTATAAAGGCCATCATTAACAAACAAATGTTGGAACGTTAGCCCAATTCGCCGAACCTCAGTCTGATCAGGTCGTTTTTATAAGGGCTTGTGAATTCCTTTCATTTTGATCACTTCTGCCAAGCCACGTATGGCGTATACTGGAGAGCTTTCATCTCATGCGATAAGGAATCATTCCCGGCTACTCTTATGAAATTCAAAGCAACAGCAACTGATACTCAATTTGCAATTCTTGCATTGCAATTCCATATAATGTGTTCATGTACGTCTATAAAACTATGTCAGCATTATTTTCCGAATACTAACGAGTTCGGAAAGTATTTGTGCATCTCGTTGAATCCTCTGGCTTAAGGAATCTAATGAAATGCACAGCTGTGTCTCATTGGCCACCGATTTCGGGCGGCAATAAAGCTTCCATTCGTGTTGCCGTGAGCCAGAGTAGGCCAGTGAATAGTCAGTGCTCAGGATATGAGGCCAGCATTCCTCCCGTTCAGAGCTTTCGTTTAGTCTGACCAGCGGCCGACTTGCTGTTCGTTTGACGTCCCGAGAGATCAAATCAGTTAGCGGCTGGTACAACTGTCATCACGATATCGCATAACGTGTCCGACCCATCTGATCTTTATTCCTTGTGTAAGCAACGGTTGACGGAGCTGCGCCAAGCATTTTCCTTTCCAAAGGATAGGACGCTGACAGCGAGTTGATCCTGTTTCGTAGAGTCCAAGTCTCCGAATGGTACGTCAAAGCAGGAAAGACAGCAGTGCCGAAAATATGAGCGAGGAGAAGGGAGTTCTTTGTCACTGTCACTACTGTAATATCTTTGAATGCTCTCCACGCCGCGTGTTTCATGGTTCTCAGCTTCGGAGCTAGGCCAGTCATCGGTTACCAGAAACTACCGTGTCCCATCCTTCCTTTGAACCCCAAAAAGCATATACTCCTAGTCACTTGTTGTGGAAAACGCGTGTCAAGCCATCCATTATTACATTTCCATCTTCGGTTCAGGAAATCCAGCAGCCAAGGGCTATACTCATGCAGAGAGAGGTTTTCTAGTGGTAGATCACAGTAGAATGCTGCGAACTTCCACCAAATATTGTGTTAGTCACCGGAGTGCTCCACTCTGTCAACCCATTTAAGCAAAACTTCTCTTCTTCTTTTAACCGATATGCTTCCCAAGCCGATTTGAACTTTACTTTGATCATTTCATCACATTTCTTTGCTCCAACAATGGGCTATGATGGCATAACAAATTCTTCACTTAGAACGCTCCACGCTTGCCGAGTGTCACAGTTAATCATGAGTAGCACCTAGAGCTCATACATATACGCTACATGTTTTTAGGTACAACATAAACATTGTGATAAAGGATAAAGGACAAAGTCTTGGGCATTAACCAATCCCGTCTAAGGGATGCGCCCTTGTACTCAACTTTCATTCAGAATCGTAGTGGCGTAATGAGTGCGTATGTGGCCTATACAATGACTTGCGGTGGCCAACCAATGTACAAGTCAGTGCTTTTATCCTCCCAGACGAGTCTGGTACCAATTAACCGACCCCGGAGGCATGGAGGCTTGGTTGGCCTAGGCGGCTACCGATCCGGGATTTGTACCCCTGCCCGGACGTATGAGATAGCGCGCCACTTGCCACCATTGTGATACCATATCGGAAGTCATCGGTGTGCACAAGGGGAATCGTTCGTTACAGAATCTCGCAACATGACAAGAAACAAGACTAAGATAAGTAATATCTTGTCGGTGAATGAAAAAAGAGCAATAAATCAAAGCATCGATAGTTTTGAGATCAATTAAAGTCCAGTTCGCAGGCGACCTTCTGTTAGGCTCGAGGTGCTGTTTGACCATGGCCTTTGTGTCTCTACGCTGTGGTCGCTAAGATTGGTGGTGCCTGCTCGTGTGCTGTAAAGGTTCCCACGGTGAAAATGTTTTATACATCTATTTAATTTCAGGAGTGGAAAGGGCTCCGGGGTGGAAGAGCCAATTGGACGCTCGATTTTATCTCATCCCAGCTTTTTGCACGAGATAACTATCTCACCCCCCTAGGAGCCCCTCCCCTTCTTAAGAATAGGTAAAAACAATATTTTTTTGGCTAAAAGCATCTCCATGAACGAGTGAAGTCGGTTACCCCTCCTTTTCTAGCAGTCAGTGAAGGCGCTGCCCCTCTCCCACCTCCAACTACATTCTCACCGTTCCCCCTTGAGCTGCATGTAACTCTAGCTTGTAGATCATCTTGTTGGGACGGGTTTGTAGATCATCTCGTTGGGATGGGTGATTACCGTCCTAGGTGCAAACCGTATATCCACTGATCGACGGAAGCCCTCACGTGATTCGATGACCTTGCCCATTTTTCATTGACCGCGATCTAGAAGTGGATCATACATAAGCACAAGTCGCCCTTTTCGTGTCGATGAGACTCATGCTACCTCGGTTCATTTCTGTATAGCTCGCGTAGTGATGTTAGGTACTCCGACGCCTATCGCTTCCAGGATGATAGCAGCTCAACGTTTCGATCCATTCCTCGATGAGAGGATCACAGGTACTGAAGATTGGGAAATATTGATCGGAATGCGCTTTGGGAATATGGTCCTGCCAGTTGAGCGAATGGGCGAAAGAAATCCATAGGTCAAATCGGAAGGTGATCTCCACCTTTCGTGACATAAGTTAGTGGTCTAGAGTTCACTACTGCCTCCGCCACCTTCATCAACTTTTTGACATCCTTGATTGAGAAAATGGATTCCGATAGCCTGTTTGTATGATTTCTTGGAGGTAGCTATCATGTTTTCGTAAACTCATCCATGCCAAGGACTATGGCTGGGAATGAATTCGAAGTGTACTCGTCGTTTCGCGCAATAGTCCAGAATGTCTTCATTGACTCGGGATCTCTGAGTGATAAGTGGCACTTTGCATGGCTTTTAAAGCTAAGGCGTTGTCGCACAATATGAAGGTGGAACACCCAATGGTAACCATAAGACTAACCTCAGACTTCTACATGCCAGTCGTGCTACATGTAGAACTGTGAGGCTGGTCATGTCCAGGGCCACATCGACACATAGCATTCTTGTAAGCTAGTAGGGAGTAGAACCCAATATAACCCGGTGAGCCTCCCGAGCCATGGTATGGCAGTGGAAAAATCCATCCCTACATTTTGGAAAGGGCATTGAGGAGAAGGCACTCGAAAGTGTGAAAGAAAATTGGAAGGAGTGCGAATGTTTCAGCGACGTATTTTTGTAGAAGAAGACGTTACGAGCACATTCTTTGCGGCAGCTCTCCCTTTTGGAATCCAAACACATTGTCGTAGTTGGTTGAGAGTATGATTAAGACCGCAATGATTGTTCTCCTCGTGAGTATGGAGTATGAAGAGAGCAGTGATGCGATTTTGTGAGGAAGGAAAATGGGAGTAATGGTAACCTAAAGTAAACTACTGTTATGGACGCGTCCCTGGGATCTACAAGGATATGTTTCCTTACACGTGAACAAACGAAGGTGATCGATCAATTCACGGTTGGAGGGACTTTGAATTTGAAATGGTCGAAACAGGATTCGTTCGGCTCTTCTGAAAGCATTGATTTTCTTTTCTGATTCTGTCCGGTTTATCACCCCCTGATGAAGATCGGCGCGCTTGCGTAGTTTTAGCGGGGTCACTGGTGACAGAGGGCAACAATGCTTCATTCTTCATCAGGAACTCTGGTCCGTTCTACCACTTATTCTTGGCTTGTAGCTCCGCGAGAGTTGCTACACGAGACCGATTTCACCGGAATTATCTTTTGGGAACATAACGCATGATAACGACTGAATGAGGGATCGAATTGTCTTCACGCGATTTTGGACAAAGAGTGGAACTATTTTTGGCCCACCTCAGGACAACTGTACTATCCGTCCATAGAAACTTCCTACTCAGTTCCAAATCAATTTCTCCTGAGACGAATGAAAGGAGTTCGGCGCCGTGAGAGCCGATAATTCCAAACAAGGGATTGTTACTGAGTGGTAAATTGGGGCTAGCCTTGATTTCGACATTATGAACACGCTTTGTAATGGAGATCATTGCGTCGATGAAGGAAGTAAGCTACAGCGCAGTGGGCGCTTCTCGGGGCATCTGTAAAAACGTGGAGTACAAAATCCGATGGGCTGCTATGCTCTGTATCAACGATAACGCGGTCGAGACTAGCTGCAGAGTAAGACCAAGATTCATTCAGTTTCTGCCATTGTACTAATTGTTCAACAGAGAGTTCAACTCCCATCTCTGCCCCTTTTCCCATATGACTTAAGAAAGAGTTTTCCAGTAAGAGTAACGGGTGAAAAATTCTCAACGGATCATAAACGCTGACGACTTCTTTCAGAACCTTCCTTTTTGCCCACCTGGCCCCGTCTGGTGGTTTTCCTGGGGAACTGATCACCAGCATATCTTTACAAATGTCCTATTTGCGTACAAGATTTCGCACTGAGGGAATAGTTCCGGTCTTCGCTACAAAAACTATTGAGCTCACCATCAAAAGGATTGTTGTCCATTGGCCTGAATTTATACCGACTTTACTGAACAGCTCTTTAGAATCCATAAAACTTCTTCTCTTCCTTGCTGTTGTTGACGCCATGAAAATGTAACAAACGCTTCTTCCGAATACCTACGTTGGTGACCAAATGGTTGCCATTCTCGTCATGTGATGGTGGATGGTTCTGGATAAAAGGAAAGCGAAGCATATTAGACCAAACGGCACACGGGTAAATCGATACGCGCTAATATTAGACGAATGAGTGCTACCATCAAAAATGCATTCTCGATGTTTGGTAGAGTGGGCAGAATTCTGCAAGGTATGAGTATGACGATAAGGTTACGTAAAAGTACGGGACCTTGGTATAGTATTTCTTCTATGCTCATCTTCTCTTTCATTTGAGCTGATTCGTCGAAAACACGTCTCATTTTGACGTTCTGGTTGTTGTCGGTTTCCGCCACGCCGTGGTAGGATAGATAAAGAGATGGTTTTGACAACTCCATGCTTGGTACTTATTTAATGAACCTCTTTGGGAGTTGTTCTCTGATAACTTCACCCTATTTCTTCATTTAAGACAGGTTATTCTTCAATGATATCACAAGATGGACAAGCCTCGAGAAAGTTAAGGCAAAGTTGTCCAACAGCTGTGATGGATCGGATTTGAGTGGCAGTTTGACGTGTCGTTCTCCTGGTCACTGTATTCAATGGTCTCAAGAACTGTAGGTATTTAGAAGCGTCCTTCTCAGTCGGGACGTCCAGCGTTATATGATATGATATATGACAGCGTTATATGATCAGGCTTGCTCCTCTTGAGAGCTGAAGCTCTTTCCGTCTTTTTTGGCAATCACCAATCACTGCATAGTGGGCAGTGCTGAGATTATGGACCCCTCAATGACAAGGGAGCGAGAGATTCGTTTTGTATGTGCAGCGACCTCCTCCAAATCTCATGAACTTAAAAATTGATACTTGATGGGCAAGATTCATCTCGCATAGGATGCATATAATGTAATTGCTTACCTCCGGTGTAACTCTCAAACGCCTCCATGATTTGCGAAAGAAACTCTTTTTCCTCAAATGAGAAGTGATTTTCACAGTCGTAAGCCTGAAACATTAGCTCTCCAGGTTTCCCTCAGTGGAGAAATTTTGCTCACGAAAACTCAGGAGAGTACAGCTGTGAAAATAAAGTGACCACACAAATAGTAATATGAAGAATGAGCGAGCAGTTACGATCAAAATAGTTTGTATAGTGCGCAGTTGCACTCGTGATCCCAACACTGCTACTCATTTGTCTGATTAATCGGCCAAAAACAGGGTTTCCTTTTAACTCGGTCTTTGTAGAATTACGGTTGGAGCATGTAGCCATGTGAAGTCAACAGGGACTTGGGAAGAACTATTTGACCACTATTAGCAGAATTGGAAATGTATGCGAAGGTAATGTATCTATAACAGTTGGGCAAAACACGCTAGCGCGTGCATTGTATGTCTACGAACGTATATGTCATGATCTAACGCCGTCTACCTCAGTGCAGACCCCTCCCACTATAAGAGTTCGACCACTCTTACTTTAGCTGTCGCTAATCATTTTCCCCACATTCTAGAGCGTTTTCAAACGGAGGCATGAATTCCTGATTTTAACTCTGCCCACTTTGTGCGAACCCGCCCACTTCTGAGGTTTGTTCACATTCATGAACAGACTTATTAGTTTCTGATCTAAGCCCTGCCCACTTTAGTGCAAACTCCGCCCAATTCTGGGTTCTGACTATATATATTCTAATACCTCTAAACACTTCTTTTCCGTCTTCTAGGGCATTTCTGAACAGAGTAATGAATATTTAATCTAAGCCCCGCCCACTTAAGTGCAAATCCCGTCCACCTCTAAGGCTTGACCGCATTTGTTCTAATACCTCTAACCAATTTCTACCGCCTTCTAAAACATTTCTGAACTGAGTTATTAATTTTTGATATAAGCCCACCCTCTTTAGTGCTAAATTCGCCCAGTTCCAAGTTTTGACATTGACATTTCTTCCGTAGCCTCTAACCACTTATTTTCCTTGATGTGGAGCTTTTTAAACAGAGCTATATCGTTTTCAAAAGCACCTGAAAATTTAATGCACATCCCGCTCACCGTGGGCGGGAAATCTATATTTTTACATATGCCCAGTACGCATAAGGCCTTATTCACCTCTTCCACTTCTTTTCTGGCTACCACGCTTTTCGTTGAATCGAGTTATAACTTGTGTGGAAAGTACCGCCCACTCCGAGAACGCTCCGCGCACCGCCGCTGAGTTCCCTCCACTCAACTTGCTGGCCCATCCTTGAGCTTTGCTCATTTTTTCCCAGCGCCTTGGCTGTTATGAAACCTAATTCAAACGCTTTGCCCAAGACACCGGCCACTGCTGTGCACGCCCCTCCCCTGTGGGCGGAGCTTCGCTGAGCTCACATGTGCTCTGATGATCTTGTCCTATGCCCAACCCATCCCATAATCGTCCGACCTCTCCAGGTGTTTCTTTGAGTAATATCGAATTTCGTGACAGACAGAAAGATTTATATGTATAGTAAGGATTATGAAAGGGGTCTAATAGATATTCCGATGAGCAGCTCTTGGTAATCATGTACAGGGTGGGCCAAAATTATGATTACAGCGCGCACTGACGTTCATTGCAAATTTTTTCTATGTTCATAACAATTCATTGAATTTCTTCCATTTCACAAATTAGCTTACGTTATTACCTTTCTAACGATACTAAACTTTTGGTAGATTTTTAACATAATATGAGCGTAACTAGTCCGTGAATTACACGTCGCTTTGCATTTACAAACACTTTTGGCACGGTGCATCTACAGACGAACTAGCGAAACAAGCATTCAACCATAAGACGCTCTCGAGAGTTAGGATCAACTGCAGATAGGAGTGGTGAACCTAGGGGAGCTGCGGTTATATTTAGGGGAAGGGTTAAGGAAGCAGGGCAAAGGACTACGTAAGAGCAAAATCCATTCTGAGTCCAAAAAGGCTAAATGAATGGATATGTCACGAAATTTTCTGCGTGAAATCGTGAAGCATCTCCTGCACAACGAGACCCTTATACGATCAGAAAGTGATTTTCCCAGAGAGCTGGTTAAAGAGAAGAGAAAGGTTGGCCAACAAAAGCTGCGTGTCGCATCCGGCCCTACGGAATTCCTGTTCACCGGCGAAAAGAAATTCACTTTATATGAAGCTTAAAGAAATGAAAGTGATACAGCACCTGGCGCACTAACTTTCTATGATGGCCTGTGCTAGCATCACCGTCGTGGCAAAGACACCGATTATTCTCGTAAATTATGGAGTGAAAGTTGGTTTGGAGGCCTGTTTGATCTCTTCGTGCGCAATAGGACACTTCGGTGTCGAACCGGTCATATTGTCAAGATGAAGCTCCTGACCGCAGAACAGAAATTGTCCAGAAATTTCGTGAAAGGGGTTCTTTGACTTCATAACCTTCAATCAATGACCACTCTGGAGCCCCGACCTAAACCCCATGAATATCTCAATGTGGTCAGCCTCAGAGATGAAAGCATCCTTCAGCCCAAACAAGAGAAAAAATAATCTCGAAAATGCTTAGCAAAAAGCCGGGTCCATTTCGATGATCCTAGCTGCGAGCCACCGTCAATGCCGTCCATCGTCGTCTTTGGGGTTGGGTGATAGCAGAAAGCAGACCCCAGTTTCAATGTACAGTTCTGATAAGAAATTTGTGATAAACCGTTTAATGAAATTGGTTTGCTCTATTGGTTTTCTATTCCTTTTCTGCGATGTGGTTTCTGTGTAATCATAATTTTGGCCCACCCTGTAGAGAACTAAAAAGACACGAACATACATGGATAGTCGCATCATCGAAGGGGTTGGCATCACCATTCCGAGTAACGAGTTGGCCTGAAACCTTAAGAGACATCATTAGACGATCAGAACACACTTTTGCGAATGTTCTTCCTATCAGGCTGGAAAACGACTCAAGCTATTTTGTGGCCGTCCATAGTTCTAGAGATCATACTGAGTTGCTAGTCAAAGCATTAGATGGGACTGGTCACAATAAACTAGATCCTTTCAATATTGGTATGAGCTCAGAAGTACAATTCCCACCGAAATTGAAAGGCGTCGAAAAAATGTACCTAACGTGATTTGACGACCCATTCCGTCCCCATGCACGATTACAAGCAGAGACGGCGGTAGATATTTTTGTAGGTACCAGTAGTGCATTTGAACTTCGCAAAACGGTCCTCTGAAATCAAACAAAAAAAATCAAGTGAAGTTCCCTCACGTAAGGTGACTTTAATATTGCTTGTGAACCATGTTCCACTCCTTCAACAAGCAGTTCATCAAGCCTCGTTTATAATACGCGGTGTAGAAGAAAAAGGAAAAAGGGAAAAATCAGAGACCCTCGATCAAGTTTCGGGAGACATGGGAATTTCGAAAGGAGTTAGGAATAAGAAATAGGAGAGGAAACGACTAGCTCTCCTGTAATGCTCTCACTTTAACAAATTGAATACCAAAAAAACGCAACACTTCCAATTTACTAACCCTCTACTTGATCTGAACGGAATCGTACAAACTTATAGGTGACCCGCCTAAAAACAGAACGGATAGTCATAAATGCAAGTTTTTCAGATACCAAACACTGATACTACTTGACTTGATTCATTTTTCTGAATCAAGTCAAATAGTACCAGTGTTTGGTTTCTGAAAGACTTGCTTTTCAGCATCATCAACTGTTTCATAACCTTACCGCTAGTGTTCCATCGTTACCGTCAGTAGGAAAATATCGCATGTAACTGCAACATCCCCACTACTTCAACAATCACCCAATAGAAGACATAGTGAAGCAATGACAATATCCGCCTAGAAAACTTTCGGACCTTACCATCATATGTCATGAACTGGCCATGAGTCATTTGTATATGTCGGAGAATCTTGAAAATAAGGAACAAAAATAATAGAAAGTGTGGCAGATTTCACGAACTTCCGGCATTGACGACAGCCACGAGAAAGCTATCTGGAGGCTCCTCTGTTTGCAATACTTTTGGGGATGTGTGAGAATTGATGAATGACTCTATTGAATGATTCCGAGAGTAACCTTTGGTGGGACTTTGCTAGTTCAAGAGCCAAGCCCAGTCTGTTATGTCGAAACCACAACATTCTACCTTTTTTAGGGGTCTCTCTGTTGGTGTGTATGTGTGTATGTGTATGTGCGTGCTTATGCCTGTGTCCGTCTCTCTATCCGTCTCTATCCCAGGTTGTCCGTTTCTGTCTCCCTGTGGCTGCTTTCAGAGCCAGCCCAGCCCCGCGAGATCAAGGCATCGATGGATCACTGCCAGCGTTGTCAGCAAGCGGCCAGCGCCGCCGCCAGCCGGTCCCGCGAGCGCGCGTGCCGGCTGGCGGACTCTGAAGGCAGCCTGTCTGTTCCACAGGCAATTCATGGGTATGTGGACTTACGTGCGTCCGAGGATAAGTGCGGCACATTGCGCGGCGAAGTTCGTAACGATTTGAACGACTTTAGCGCCTATCATTGGGGCCCAAACTTGAAGTAGAGTAGATCAGAAGGATCACCTGACCCTACTAAACTTCGATTTTGTGCCCGAAAATTGGCGTGAGAGTCGTACAAATCGTCACGAACTTCGCCACACAAGTTGCCGCGCGCATCCTCGGTAAGTCCCGCCCCCCGCGATTCATAGCTCCTCTCACCTTGCACGCCAAAACCATCGGAAATTAAGGGAATGAAGAACAAAAATCTAGCTACTAACGATCGATGTTGATTAATTGAAGCCGATCGTTACTGATCTGTTGTGTGATTGTTGGGTTACTCACGCCTTTTTTTCAGTGAGAAGGAAGTGCGACAGGTGTTAGTTGGGCGTTTAAGTTAGTCGCAAAAAAAGAAAGCTCAATGACAGCCGGGAGATCCAGCTGGTAACTAAAGAGTGCTCGCGGTATAGAGGATAACCTTGCATGGCAATTGTTTAACAACTATAAAAGTGAAAAAATGTCCAACATTATCTAAATCCTTCTCATTCCTTAACATTTCGAGCACAGTACTCAACTTTCGTACCTCAAACAACCATGATCATCAAGATAAGAGAACAGCCGCATGTCCGAGACACAGGGACGTCAGTCTTTAGAAATCGACGAGCTATAACAATAAACTAGTCACTTGACAAAGTAACAAAAAAACATCGAAAAAGGAATGCGTTGTTTTGTGACCCCTGGATTCGTCCAACTTTTTATTTACCAATTTTAGATACTATAACTAGATCCTTTGGAGTGCGGATTTCGATCCTTCGCACCTTTAGCGCCTTTCTTCTCAGGGCAACAGTTTGCAAAACCTCCCTACTTTGAATCTGTTAGCTTGGGACTGTGAATAATTCAAAGTAAATAACAAAAGAACACTTCAACAGATGAATATGAAGAGCCCCTCGAACTATAACCTTCTTGCCTTTGTCATAATTATACTCATTCAGTGCTCCTACCGATGTGGCCGACCACCCAACTGTACCACATCCTGTGAAAACCATAAGGGATGTGACTAATGAGGGGGACGTGCGTGGTGCACGAATGACAGCTAAAGGAACAGGGCTCAGGGTTGTTATTACCCTCTATAGATACACAAATCACTCAGCATGTAGGGCAGAAGCTGGGAGCGGAGCGAAGTGCGCATGAATTTCAGATATGATTTTGAAATGAGAACTGCTCCTGGAAACCAAGCTTTTTTTCCTTTTGAATGTTCCATATCAGATTCGTCGAGCCGCACAAAAAAACCTGTTTCTATATCAGCTGACTCCTTCAAGTCATGAATGTTAAGAAGATCCGCGCTCAACTATTGTCACAATACCCAACAGAAGTCAACGGTGCGATGGTGGCAGCACAAAAAGGACTACCGATTGTTAAGCGCTTCATATATATTGTACCAATCAAGATGGTGCCTACAGCGGTAATGCCGTAGAATTTTACAAAATGAATTAGCATACTGAATACTGGATGCTGAATCTCATTCCAATCCACACCCTTGTCGCATAATTAAACAGTAAGCGACATCCGGCCTTACTCAGTGAAGCTATGAGAATCACCCCACTGGATTCGTTATCGATAACAATGGCACGGACCCAACTCCGAAAGATACGAAAAGAAACAACACGCTCAATGACACAAAAGAATCTTTTACGCTAACTATTCAGTTCAATGCATGCTTGGGCCGATTATATACGTAAACCACCTCTAGCAAACATAATATCACAGCATTCGGTATATCACAATAATGTGCACATTGTATGAAACAACGAGCGAAAATAAAAATGAAAGAATGGGTTGTTTTCGAACCATCTCCGAAGAAAAGATCCCGAAACTAGGGGATAATTTCCAAACTGTTCGAGTTCATTAAGACAAAGTGTGAATGACAAAAGCCAGTAAAGAAACTGCATTCATTAAACTGTGTACATAAACAAAGATTACAAAATCTAAGAAATAATCAGCTTCAAGTTTCAGAGCAAAAGTTTGTCAATAAATGAGCATACGTTATCCAATCATACATCGCTGGAGTTTTAGAAGTTTGTGCTAGCTCCAAACAGATCATGAATGAAGGAATACTGCAGTGGTGACAATCCATTGGGCAACTGAGCGAAAGCGAGCGATTGGTCCTACTGGCCGACTTCTTCACGATAAAACGTTGGCTAAAAAAATTAGTCTCAAAACAACAGCATAGAATAAGCAAAACAAGGCTACCGACGGAAACATGAATTGTTAGGTTTCATGGAAACAATAATGTAAGCAGGAATCAATCACCACTTTGAGAATTTACAATGAAAAACGCATAGAAGAACAAAGAGATAAACTGCTATATACTGCATTGACACGCAACTCAATAGCTCGCATTCATTCGTTCCTTTCAGTATCCTTCAAAGTTTGAATATTCACAAGGTCGCGCAATTTACTATATTTACGCTCACTTGGAGCTAGTTCCTCATCGAGTGACTTTTCTACGCTTGATGCAAATACTTACCTTAGAAATAATATAAATAAAAAATGAGATGTTTTTCTGCAAATACTATAGTNGAAACCTAGAAAAACAGAGGCAACGAAATGGGGACACTGACCGAGACTAGGAGTGTCAGTATCTAGAAAGCAAGAAGTACTGAAAAAGAGATGAGCTCAGTCCGAAAACCACCGACTAAACCTGTAGGAAGCGTGAGGCAAAAGTTCCAAGGAAATCTCATCAAAGACATGGCCAGGGAATTATGCCACCGAATGTAGGGGATCATCGAGAGTTAAGTGGTATAAAATGAGAACAGCTCTATAAGTGGAAAGCCTGGAATGCCTAGAAGAAAGAAGACACAGTCAAGATATATTGAGTGAAAGAACGGGCAAGTCGCTCATTCCTTCAACCTATTAAACTGAAACTCGAACAGTTTACAAAACGGTATGTCCTTACATTAGATTGGCCCACGATGTCATTCCAGAAACCGAGTCCAAAGTGATAAGTGAGTAATGTTTACTGCTGAAGCGTTCAAAAAAGGATCTCAATTACAAGACGCTCACCGAACTAGCTCTCATAGAGTGGTCATCTCTACTAGTTTCCTCATCCGTCTCAGAAGATGATTCACCATCGTAGTCCATTTCAATCGTACTCGGTTTCGGAGGAGGTAAAGGAGGCTCTCGACTGCCTTGAACATCATTTGCTTGCCTAGCGGCTTTATCAGCGGTCACACCAGTGAGGCGGGTGAAGCACTAGAATCAGTGAGCTCAACACAAAAAGGTGATTCGATCAAGTTTCAGTGTGTACTGAACACTAGTTAAAGTAAAAAGCATCACGTCAATAAAAAAAGCTTTTCCATAAAATCGTAAATTATTTACCATATCACAGACACGGACTGGTTTCTTATTTAAACTATCGATGCGGTAAGAATGTGTTGAGCATGCTCCACAAATCACACGGCCGCAGGCACGGCAATGATGCTGTAACGTAGGCAAATTTGCATTAAAAGGAATAGCTATCAGGAAGGTTCTCGTCGATAAATGAATACACCCACTCTTCTCTGTACTAGGTTAAACTGCGTGCGACCACAAGCCATACAACGAGCTGCTTCGCCATCCGGAATCCAAACAGCTGCATGTTCTTTTGCTGGTCGCTTATTACCTTACAATTGCTACCATCATTTTGAAAAAGACAAAAGTCAGAGTCAAAGTCCAAAGTCAAATGTAGGACGAAATAGGATCCGTGAGCTAACCTTTTTCTAGTAAATCGGCAACACAGCGCTCTATATGAATCATCCATTCCTTTTTTTCTTTCGGGGAAGCTGCGTAAACAGCAAACGATTTCTCCGGTGTCTTCACGATCCATCCATTTTTAATCGCTAAATCAAAAAGGCAACGATTAGGAATGAATAACTCATATCAGTAGTTCAGTAATAAAAGCAGTTCGGCACGAAAGATTGTGATAGACAGATGGCTTCGAAAGTGTTCGAAATAGCACCACCGAAGAGAAATAAAACCATTCGAAAGGCTCAAACGTAGCTACTGCAGACTTTCTACCTGGGAAATTATCGAATTTCGCTTCGATATGTTTAGTAGCTTATAGAAGGCGCGCACAACGAGAATAATTAACTTTTTGAACTGACTATTGATAGTCACAACGCTCGAAAATCCATGATTCAGAGTCGATCCGATTGAAGGCGTTCATGTAGTTCACGAATCCTAAAGGGAGATCACCCAACCGAAGGGATGGTATAGGTCATATGAGCTTGATGTTTGCAGCATGGCTTTCACTGCATAAAGTTAAACCACGAAGCATTCACTTAAAAATACATGTTTTTTTTAATAATAGCAATCTTACTGAATAAAACTCTGACAGGAAAGCAAAGCAGATAGACAGCAAGTTATGGTGAATTTCCGATCTTGCTTGCCATGCTTTTTCACTTGTTTAAGCTAACAGCATGGATGCTAGCCGTCAGGACAGTGTTTGCGATCCACAAGAAAGAACAACCAATTAGAGTGATAACTGTATCCAAATAAATGCAAATACTCCTTGAAAATCACGAAGGTAACAGGAACGAACTAACAAGACAGCCCGTGAGCAACTGACTAGAGTTTAGAAAACGAGTGGGACAACAGCTCTGATTGAAATACTCAAGTTTTGTGTGCAGAAAAGCGAAAGTGACTTTGCACTCACCTCCTTCATCAGGTAAATCCTCCAGCTCCACGTTTTCTAGTGGGATTATTCGTTGCTTGTTATAACGTTTCTTCGATATTACAATATTCCCGTAGACCAGTATGTCATTGAATAAGAAAAATTGGCGCTGCTTCGGTTTCTTTCTGAAAAATGCAGATATCTTCAAACTCGTGCTTCTCATTATCACGAAAATTGTGGCTTGGTGTAATCTTCAAGGAGTCCACTTTTGCCGAAGGTTCTTCCAGTGTTTACACAGTGAATAAGGCAATAATGTTTCACCGAAGCACGCGTTCCTCATTCTCTCTAGTCTTCAGTTCCCCCCCCCCCCCCCCCCCCACCTTGTTGTTTTTCAGGTCATCCTAGACCTCCCTGTGTATTAAGACATGGGTTGCGAAAAAAAAGGTAATCGGAAGGAAAACAGAGGCTTCCGCCTGGAAAAAGGTGACGTCTCAACAAGTGACTAGGAAGCGGGACATTTGGAAAATGCAAAGACAGAGAACCCTGAGTAGACTGTACGTGTTGAGCGGAGAACTCCTTCTCACTGGTACAGATTGGAAACATATATTGAAACTAGCAAAGTAATGTTTGATGTAATAGCTAGGACATTCACAAAAATTAACATTTTCGAAAGCTACAGGGAATACGCAAATAACCTGTTACTTAACCCGATTATTTGAAACAAGTACAGAAGCAAAAGTACAACAACAATCTAATCATGTCATGATTTTGAATTCTGAACAAGCCGCAGATTCAGGGAAGCTAGTTTCAGTAACGGTTGCGTTATTCTCAAAGAAGACAGAAAATTGAGATGGTTTAAACTTCTGTGTAACTCTGAGCTTTGATAAGTAAACTCCACTCACGACCAGAGTAACATGCAAATGAATAATAATCAATCTCGCTAATTCTGCGAATAGAGCGATATTAACGTAAAAGGCTCTAACACTGCTAATACTCGCACTGTGATATTTTCATCATTACTTATGCGCTTCGTTGTCACAGCCGATCACAACAAAATCGTTTTCGTGCCCCTCCTCGTGTGAGATGACATGTCAGGCAAATAGCACTTCCTTTCCTTTAGTCCTCAAATTGAACCTACACAACCACTCGAACCCCCTTTGTTTAGCACTTGTTCTTTGAATAACAGCTTCACGTTTCAAAGTCTGGTCAGAAACTACACTAGGCCACATTCAATGAAATTCTTTCGGCCTTACTGAAATATAAAAGTAGATGTCCTGTTAACAAATGAGATTCGTGAGGAACTAGTAAACTTATGGGATTATGGCTCCATTAAGCACAATGGGTGGTATTGTATAAGACAAGCAACCGCCTTTGACTGGAAACAGGATAACTCTCCTACCTGCACATCTTCACCAGGACTCCTTCACCAACCAGCACTCTTCCAAATAAATTTAGTGGCTTGGCCATTTTACCGAAACATTGCTCCACATTAGCGACTCGTCGAGCGTTCACTTCACTATTCACTAAAAATTTGCAATTCGATAAGCCTGCAACTCTTTCAGAGAAAAAAAAANAAAAAAAAAGTAATTCTGACAAAAAATAGGAGACAGAAAAGAAGAAATGAGGGTAATCGGAGCGGTGCGGTAATAACTTTGTTGATGAAATACGCAAAGCGGATAAGGGTACAGGGTAAACAACGAGCTTACCAAGTCTATCCACCATAACGCTTGACGATAGTGAAACCAGGCACGAACTCCTCTCAAATTTTCACTGAACGCTGGAAAGAAAAAGAAACGGTTTGAAGCTGCGGTCAACCGACAATAAAAACAAGTGCACGAAGTACATGCAACTAGTTTAAACACTACGCCTACTGGCATTCGAGAAAAGGCTATCGTGCAATTGCGCTGGTCATGGTCGATCGGTCGTCACAAAAGTTTCTTTCGGTATTCGAACGAAATTCGACGTGAACGGAAATCTATCACTTTGGTCTCGCGAAGGAGTTGAGATCCTACGAAGATAAACATGCGGTGTACATCCTACACAAGGGACTGAACCAAATTTCCTAACACTGCTACACTGAATAGCGCGCTGTGACGAGTTCAACTCCCCCGGCGCGGCCCAGTTAACTCCCAGACATTGAATTGAAAAGTTTGACAGACAATGTCTTCAAAGAAAAAAAAGACGAGGGTGGAGAACAGGGATCCAAAATCTAGCGTTGCCTCTTTACTGATGAGTAGGATATGAAGTGGATGATTTGCGGCTAGATTACTCTGAACCCACTGCGGCTTTCAACATGAGTCAAGACTTATATTTATTGGTTAGGTTTTACAGCATGCATACGATTGTGCTTTACCTGCACTACCCATCTCCATCTGAAGACAAAAGGTAAAAGTCTCTTGACGTTAAACAATCCTGTCTAAGAAATGCGTTTCCTTACATTTTTTCAGAGTCGTAGTGGCGTAATGAGAGCGTGGTGGCCTATACAATGACTTCGGTGGCCAGCCGATGTACAAGTCTGTGCTTTTATCCTCCCAGACGACTCTGGTACCATCACCGACCCCGGAGGGATGGAAGGCTTGGTTGGCTTAGGCGGATACCGATCCGGAATTGAACCCGTGACCATGCGTGCAAGATAGTGCGCCACTTGCCACAATACCACCTTCGCCCACTTAGAAATATAACACTGAAAATTTGTCACAAATTAATGTGGTGTAAACTACAGCCTGAGTTGTCAAAAATACACGAATAGCGAAGCTGAACAAATGAGATGAGCGCTACCATTGTTCCTGATAAGATGATACGAGGTATCGATTACCGCACACGTGACTCATGCGTCGCGGTAATGGCCGTAGCATATTTTGAGAACAGTCCTCTCAAACCGAGAGCACCGATGAGCCACATGACTTCGACCTTGAACTCGTAACTTTTTGAAAGAGTACAAACCAAGACAAAGCCGCCAAAAAATTTGTGTTTAGACAGTTATTGCCCTTATAAATAGTTTTTACAGTAGTACACATATAAATAGTAACTAAGCAGTGATCGCCTCCCCCAAATCCGGTTCCACAGAAAACTTGTGGGTTAGTCCTGCTGCCGAAACAGCAAAAATGCTCGTTCCATAGCAATCACGTTATGAACAAGCTACAGGCATGTACTTCAGGCTTTTATATGAAATCAGTTTGGGTGGTGGGGAGACTTGTAGGACCCATGGTTCCTGGCAAGTGTTCCATAGTTTCGATAACAACAGCCATTACAAGCCTGGTGCCGAAAAAATGACTTCTTCCTCTGATTTCTGAGGGAAATGGAGCAGAATGTCGATCTGTCCACTCATACCAATCAGAGCTTCCACTAGGTCCTACATTCGCGGAACCTATTCATAGTCACCCACGCAACTATTGGAGTGAACAATATTTGAACAACCTCATCGATCTAGATGTGGCCTGATCCTGTGAAAGGAGAAAGACCTTCACACACACACGGCTGTCATATCACAACGACCTATGCATGTCAATCAACAACTTTCAGACAAGCAAAGAATATACGGCTCAAGCTCAACATGCGCATAAGCACAAAAGCTTCATGGGGTTCCAATTGGTTATATATTTACCCACACTAATCAACTACACCGGGTAAGTGAGATGCTTACCTTAGGCGGCTAAAGCTGAAAACCCGNCCCCCCCCCCCCCCCCCCCCTCTCCCCCCACTCCACCTACATTTTCACTGACATTTCCTTTGCGGGAATTGATAGTGAATCGATGATATGGCGTCGGTGTGACGTAAATTCTTGACCACCTCTTACCACTGTATAAAGACCTTATATCTGCAAAACAGTGATAAACAAGGAAGCGCACCAATGTTGAGAAAGCCTCTGTGCATTCGTTCACCTAGAATCATCTCAGTCAGGAAATTGGCTATAGGTTGTCAGAGTAATGTAGTACACATTGAAAACTGCTTCCGAACTGCTTTTACCTCGAAGTGATTTACAGTTCCAACAAATGTCCCGCTCGTAAAATTAGAACTGGGAAACCCCACAGAGCTGTTGCGTTAGCCCTCGCCAGAATTATGCCGATTAGAGCTCCAAGAAACGAGGAAGATGAGGAATAGACTTCAAAGAAGCAGCAAACTGCAAAATCACTACGAAAACTACTTGAGGAATAAGAAAGTAGAAACGGCATGAGTCACATGAACGAACAAGCACCCGTTTCTGTGTAGTGCAAATACACCATTTGCAAGCGCACACAGTAATTACGCCTAAAATTAAAATTTCAGACGTTGTTGAAGGCCATGTGTGTTTGTGAATCTGTCTTTCATCAATTTCCAAAAATACCAGGGCAGGCTAGTCAACGTACACATACAACCGACACGAAATGATGTATAAAATATTGAATTATTGCTTCATGCGGAATATGCTAGCCGTGAGCAGCTTTTTTTGGGTGGCCTACCGTTTAATCTCTACCAAACGGGTTAAAGGGAGAGGAAGAGCAAGAAAAAAAAAACAACAAAGGATTACAAGTGAGCAACGTTGAGCGCTTATGCTAATGAATTCAGGGGTGGATTGCTATAGGGTGACGATATTTGTGTAATCGCTACACATATCGATATGGTGCTATCATCCTAACCTACTTTGCATGACTAAAAGTGTCTATTTTCGTGAATATTGCCTAAAAAGGTTATTCTTTATGAAGCAGTTTTACCCCTATTTCACGGTCATACGTGATGTGCCAATTTCACTCAGGCGTTCTCCAATTGTTTACTGATCATTATTTGTTGTTAGTCGGACCTTCGCTCTACATTTCTTTTTCAGAGAGCGTAGCTCGTCACAAAAGGTTTCAGTGACAAGGATAGCCTACAAGACGTGGGGCGGTAGCCCTAGTTAGGCAGAAACCTGACGAATCCGATAGTAACTAGCCTTTTCGATGCCTTTATGAGAAGTGGTCGTGGATGATCGTTTAAAGACTTTAGAGGGACTCCTGAACTATTGAATGACGAATAAATAGCAAGGGGTACGGGTTCGATTCCCGTTCAAGGCTAAGCGTTTTGCACATAACTCACCATTTTTGTGATACTTTCGTGTTGCGTACTGCCATAACAGTTTATAAAAACATCAAGTCAAAACACAACACGTAACAGGTTTTTCCCAAACTTCATTCGTTTTGAACAACTCTGCTCCTGCACAACAAACAGTGCTGAGCGACATAGTCCAACACAGTTATCGTTTGGCCTTCCTCAGCACAACCATCCATAGGGCTCCGAGCATTGTTAAGGACAACTTCGTATCTAAAGAACATAAATATGGTGACAATTCTCAGTGTCACAGAGCATTGGAAACGCCACCCATGAACGTAGTTAAATCTCGCCACCGGCTGCCGTCAGAATTAGTTTCCCATGCGCGAATATTTGAATGTCTCATGGACTGCTATTGGAGCACATCACGCCTCTCCGGTTGTACGAATGCAAAAATGTATGTGTGTCGTTTAATGTCACCTCTCTCCACTGCATTCCCAGTATGTGGAGTTGTTTGGTGCAAGTCTACCTCTTCGCTGCGAAATCTAATGAAAAGGGATTGCAATAAAGGCGAAAAAGGGCAGGTAGTTGAAGCAGCGACTTTTCGAATCACAGAACGCTAAAACGCAAAGATCGTTCAGTCGACTTACTTGTTGTTAGAGATACTTTTTAACAAAAAGTATATTATTTTTGCCTAACTTCAAGAAGGGGAGGAGCTCCAGGGTGGGTGAGATGGTTANAAAAAAAAAAACAACAGAGGATTATAAGTGAGCAACGTTGAGCGCTTATGCTAATGAATTCAGAGGTGGATTGCTATAGGGTGACGATATTTGTGTAGTCGCTCCACATATCGATATGGTTCTATCCTCCTAACCTACTTTTCATAACTAAAAGTGTCTATTTTCGTGAATTTTGCCTGAAAAGGTTTTTCGTTATGAAGCAGTTTAACCCCTATTTCACAGTCATACGTGATATACCATTTTCACTCAGGCGTTCTCCAATTGTTTACTGAACAGTATTTGTTGCTAGTCGGACCTTCGCTCTTCCTTTCTTTTATAGAAAGCATAGCTTGTCACAAAAAGTTTCAGTAGCAAGGACAGCCTACAAGACGTTGGGCGGTAGCCAGTTAGGTAGAACCTGACGAATGTGATAGTAACTAGCCTTTTCAATGCCTTTATGAGAAGCGGTTGTGGATGATCGTTCAAAGACTTTAGAGGGACTCCCGAACTACTACCGTATTGGTAAGGAAAAGAAGGCGGTTCCTAAAACAGCGGTACCATGATAAGGAAGTATGAATTGGAACCAGAAGAACGACGTCGGGGAATAAATAGCTTCAAAAGTAAGATAGAGTCGATCAAAAAATGACGAATAAAGAGCAAGGGGTACGGGTTCGATTCCCGTTCAAGGCTAAGCGTTTTGCAC